GCTCTATGAAAACGACTAGTGAAAGCAAAGAAGTAAATGAGTTGAATCAGTGCTACAGAGTTGCCTCTGCAGGCAGAAAGGAACAGTCTGGTACTGGGGAATGGTTCACTGCAGGCAGCTGGGCAGAGCTCACAGCATGGCCTGGGGTGGTGTAAAAGAAGAACAACCAATGGCTCCATGAAGCTCCCTAAGACACCTTTGTTCCCGGAGAACAAAAACGGCCAGCTCCTGTGTGCTAAGTGGAAACAGGCTCGGCTGACTGGCTTTTCAATCATGCCAAATTGCAGAGCTGTGACATGCAAGGAACGGAATCAAGGTTACAGATATAAGCTGCAGTAAATCTTTTAACAACCTGAGCAGTTGTTGTTTCCTATTCACTCTAACTTGCCTCTCAAGCAGGCCTCCATCTGAATTGATCACTTAACAGCACCACAGGTTTCAAGCTTAGGCAGCCCTGCCTAGAAGCACTGAATTAGATAGTTGTAATTTGTGGCTCCTTCTCTTTATCAAAGCAGCTGGAAACAAAACAGGCTAATGACTGACACAACACCGTTTTCTAAAATGGAGCTGGGGATGGGATGCGGGGGGTGCAGTCGTGACTTAGAGGTAATCACTGCTTGCAATAGAGATGCATACACTTCAGCACTGGTCAGGACTGAGTGCCAACAGTTCCCTCGCAGACAGTCCACTTCTGGTGCCTAGCAAGGAGTTGCCCAAACAGCCAAGAGGAAGCACATACTAACAGCTGTCCACTCAGTCAGGGCTGGACAGGCTGCCAAGATCCTCATCATCACCTAAAGCATGGAAGATCAGGGAAGCAAACAAACATACTTCCCTCCAGATCGCTTATTGGTATACCAAATCAGGAAGGTCATGCACCTTCCTTCTCTGGTTGTCTCACTGAAATGTAACAAGGACCAGACCTTACATCCCGCTCATCAAGCTCTTTCTGGATGGCTTACATTCTAACACGGGACACCCTCTTGTGCAACTGTCACCCATAAACTTGACCTTCTTGACATTTCTGGCAATTCAGTCTGAGCACATAAACCATGTCCCTGCTTCAAATCTGAACAGAAATAAATGTCAAGAAGCATCCGTTCACTAGCATGATCTCAGAGCTCTTCCTATAGAAAAACAGAGATTTGTTCAAGCAAGTAGTCAACCATTTTCTTCCTCATTAGCCCAGGCCTCTTCAAATTAGTTATGAATTAATCAAAGGGAAAAGTCTATTCAGCTGCCACCATTTTACCTGAGGAGGAGACAGCTGGCTTTATTGCTTCCTCTCAGTGGTTAAGCCAACTCAGAACTCTTTCTTATGGACAACTCCACATTGCTACCACTAGCAGAGGTGGAACTAGTGCTGCAGTAACTGTAAGGCTACCCTTTCCCAGGGCCCCCACAACACTAAGGACTGATTACTGGTTAGCAATTGTAACCATAAACCCCTCCTCCTCTTTGCATACTCCCAAGTCTAAGGGTCTTTCAGACTTAGATGACAGCAGCATAAACCAGAGGTAGAAATCAGACATATAAAATTTAAAGTTATTGTTTCTTTCTTCTTTAAACAGAATTGCTCCAGATGTCACAGAGCTACAATACAAGTGTGAGCTACAATAGAAGTGTTTGCACAACACTTCCTGCACAGTACCTTTTCCTCCCCAGCTTACTACAGTTTAGTGCCTAATATCACCCTTTTTTAAGGCTATTCAAAGAGGGAATGGATGAGGGAGTGGGGCTTGCATGATATGTTAAAGGCTATCCATCATACCTTTAGCTTAGCTTGGATCTCTCTAGCTTTCCGCCTTGCCAGGACCTGGATGTGACTAGATACCTGTATTGAAAGACAAAATCCATCTTCATTCCAGAGGAGTACTTGGTAGCTGCTTGCAGAAGTAAACATACTTTAGGCACCTTGTGCAATAGGCAGTTATTTAGGGTTGGGGGAAGGGAGAGTTGAGGTAGCAATGAGAGCTTTTCTGAACATAACAGGTGTCATGAAATGAGGCAGAAGACCAGCAAAGACGGGCCATTTAAGGCCTTTTCCAATTCCAATGGCTTTACCAAACCAGACACCTTCTCTAAAGCTGAATAACCCACTCTTAAATCTAGGGATTGAGTTCTGATCTCTTTATTCCCCATCTTGGCCTCCTCTTGGGAGAAGGGAAACCCATGTTCCATAGCCCTGGCCACTGCATAATGACTCTCAGAACCTCCCCATATCTAATGTGGGCCAAAACGCATCATAGAATAATTTAGGTTAGAAGGAACTTCTGGATGTCATCCACCAATCCCCTACCCAAAGCAGGTCTAGGTTGCTCAGTGCTTTGTCCAGCATAGCCTGTACTGTCACTCCCAAATTACAAAGATTCCTTTTTCATCCCATGCACCAGGCATGTTCAAAACCATCATTGCTGTCCATCTGGCTGGGCTGAACAAGGAATCTTCATATAGAGGACCACTGATGTTCACTGAAATGTTCATTAGTAGACCAAACAAAATCACACACCTACAACAGTAGAAAAATTTGTGTGTCATGATGTGGTTGAGAGACATGAGCATTACAATCCTACTGTAAAATGCCTGAGGTGACTCTTCCCACCATTCTTATTAACCAGCTCAGCAAAACAACCTCTTTCCAGCAAAGTCAGAAACTAATAAGAAGTGAACAGCAAGGCATTTGTTCTCCTAAGTCCTCATCATGTCTAGTGATCCAAAGAAACTAATGTTTACAAGGAAAATTTTACACTTACCTGTTTCCTTGTGCGTGTCTTCCCTGTTCTCAGCTTAATATAGCGGGCAATCAGCTCATTTCGGCCTGGAACAGAGAAATAATGCAAATACAAGTTTAAAAAGCTATGACCCCAGGGAGAAGATGCACAATGCAACTATCTATCTATAGAGATTAACAGTGGGATGATACTCTGTCACACTATTTTCTATTTTAGAAAAGTACTCTAGGTACATTAGTTCACATGGTAGAGGTCTGAGTTTTAGAAGCAGAACTTTGGGTCGAAAATTCTATTTCCCAGCTTGCATCTGTATAGCTTAAAGTTACCAATAAAAAGGACAACCATGTGCTTTGCTTAATAATTACATTACCATAGTGTGTAGAAGCTGTAAACATGGATCACGACTGCCAGTACAAAGAAGAAAAAGGGAAGCCACTCACCCCAAAACATTCAGAAAGGCAAGAAGGAAGATCCAGGAAATAACAGGCCAGTCAACCTCACCTCAATCCCTGGGAGGTCATGGAGCATGTAATCCTGGAAATCATTTCCAGATACATGAAGGACAAGAAGGTAATTGGAAGTATTCCACATAGTTTTACAAATGGGAAATCATACTTAACCAGCCTGATAGTTTCTACAGCGAGGTAACATCCTCATAGGCAATCTGACAAAGTATGGGTTAGACAAGCAGACAAGAAGATGGACTGAAAACTGGTTGAGTGGATGGGGTCCTGGTTGACAAGCTGGCAATGAGCCAGCAATGCACCCTCGTGGCAAAGGCGGCCAACAGCATCCAGGCTGCATTAGGAGGATTGTTGCCAACAGGCCAAGGGACATAATAGTTCATCTCTACTCAACATTGCTGAGGCAACATCTGGACTACTGTGTCCAGTTCTGGGCTCCTCAGCACGAGAAAGATGTAGACATACTGTAGTGACTCCAGCAAAAGGTTGACAAAAATTATTAAGGGGCTGGAAAATCTTTCATATGAGGAGAGGCTGAGAGAGATGGGACTGTTCAGCCTGGAAAAGACTGAAGGGGAGTTTTTAATCAATAAATACCTGACAGGAGGCAATGAAGAAGAGGGAGCCAGTCTCCTCTCAATAGTGCCAAGCGATAGGACAAAAAAGCAACAGGCCCAAAATAAAACACACTAAATTCAGCCTTAAAAAGAGAAAAAGAAAAGAAAAAGAAAAAAAAAAGGAAAAAAACCAACTTTTTTACAGCAAGCGTGGCCAACCACCGGCACAGGCTGCTCAGAGAGGTTGTAGAGTCTCCATACTTGGAGGATATTCAAAACCTGACTGGACACAATCCTGGGCAACCTGCTGTAGCTGACACTGCTTGAGCAGTAGGGCCAGACTAGACAATACGAAGAGATCCCTTCCAAACTACATGAGTCTGTCATTCTGTGAATCTAAGTTCATGGAAACAGTTACACAGAACTTATCAGTTTAACATAATACAGTGACTTAAAAGTGCTTTCAGCTTCTTGCAGGTATCCCAAAACCAGGAGCATTCTTCAGAAGAGATATAGAGAAGGAAGCTGAGCTTTGTGGAAGGTTACAAGGGGCTCCCATAAACAGGAAGGTGGGGCACAGGCTGAGCGAGGTGAAGGAATCCTTATGTAATTATTGAACAAGCATACATTGCAGGCACTGAAGATAGGTTTTACATCTTGATTTTAAGACTTGACGCAGTGAGATTATGCCCTTCAGGGCCAAGGGAAATGAAGACAGCTTTATGTTCAATGTGAAAGCAGACGTCGGTGCAGAGATGTAAAGAAAAGATGGTCATGGTGACAGATGAGGGAAATGGTACTAGCAGCAACATGAGTTAAATGGCTAGTGAAATGTGAAGCTACAGGGTCACTGGTACAGAATTTGAAATTGCTTGGAATGGGAGCAGGAAACTGCAGAAGACTCAAGTCTGAGATTTAAAAATCAGGAAAAGAAACAGAGAAGGCTGAGCTACTGACTTCAGCAGTGAACAGCAGAAGCAACCTTAGACCAAATTCACAGCTAGCACCACAGAACACTTTGAGAGTCGACACCAAGACACCAGGCAGACTATGCAGGTTCCATACACTGGCTCCCATGTGTCAAATCTAAGCAAACACACAGATTTTATTCTCTTCCTGGAGATGGAGGAATAAAGAGCAGAAACAGAAAAACAGCAGCTATACACCTGAACTAGAGTTCAGGCTGATTCAAGGCAGAAAATATGACAGAAAGAGCAGGCTCTGCAACACATTTGTGGTGACCATAGTAGCAGCGATACAGTACCTCAATAAAAAGTTGGGAGTAGAAAGTGCAAGGCTGTGAGACATCTTATATGGCTGCAAGTGTTTGAGGAATGAAGCAGGAATAAACAGGGAAGCAAAGCTGCAGCTCTTGTGAAGTTTATTTATAACAAAATTACAAAACCTAAATATTTTCTGAAAAGTTTATGGGCAGAATGGAAAACTTGTACATTAGGACATCACAGAGATCAAAAAAAGCAAGCAATGAAAATAGATGAAATATTTATTCTAGTAGTTTAATATTCCATGAAAAAGTTGTCACTTGTTTTTATTTTAAAACCTTGTTTAACTCAACCCTGAAAAAAATGAATGCAAGGAAAGACTATGCTAGAGATTGACGACTCAACCCTTTAGGGAAGGGCTGGCAAAGCTCCCAATTCCATCTTTTTGTGAAACAGAAGAATGTGAACATCCACGGCTGCATTTAAGCCACGTTTATGAAACATAACCAAAGCACACACAGGGATAAGAAGCATTTCACATTTACAGATATTAATCTTTTCCTAATGGTGTCATTACAAATGCTCTCCTTATTTCCCCCGGAAGAAGAATCAGGTCTGTAGCTGAGAAAAGAATACAGCTCCAGGTCCCCTATACATGAATTAAGAACTATTTCTGGGCCAGAAACACAATGTCCAGCATGTTACCACTGACCTCTTCAGTTCTCACAGTTTCACCATAAGCGTGGTGACATGCCCAGGAGAGTCTGATGGGAGCAGATGTTGTTATGCCACCTTCCACCTGGCTGCTTTTCCAAACAATGCAACCATTTTTACAAAGCCAAGACCAATTACTAGCGACACATACCCACACCACCTTTTTCTAGTGTCAAGATTAATATTTATAGCGTTTCAAAGCCTCCATCTGTTGGACATGGATCCATGTTGAAAGGTAAGAAACAACTGAAGTGATTCTTCTCACACAGATGCCAGCATATACGAAATTTCAGAAGGACACTTTGACTCATGTCAGAAGTGGGAAATATGCAGAACAAAACAAGGTGCTCAAACCCCATTATCTATAAATAAACAAAAAGCAAAATGTATATACACCAAGAGGACCCTTCAAGGGGCAAGTGGAACGAATTAATGGAAGAGAAAGGAAAAACTAGCCTTGAGAAGAAGTGGATGTGGACAACTTCAGGCAAAATTTTAAAGGATGCATATTGAGCTATACTGACAATTTGAACACGGGGCAACTCTCCAGACACTGGTTCAAATATGGGTCATCCTTGCAAAACTGATTTCAAGGGATTCTCAACCAGATAGAATAAATGTTATGGATCAAATTTAGCTTTGTTGTGTCTCCATGAAAGTCAAGAAATTACACAGAGTGGGCATTCTGACAGAGAACTATTCTGCTTCAGCAGTAGAGGGCTGCAGGCGTAATCTGTGTGAAAGGATGCCATGAACAGCCCCACGCCAGTCACAGTCCATTTCAGCCATCTCCAAAAATGAATGAATACAACAATCCATCAAAACCTCAACTTGTCAGAGAAGCACAAGCTACGTATGCTCAAACGTATTTTGGAAAGGGCAATAGCCACTAGGGGCAGGAGACACATGAGGAGACACACAAAAGGAACCACAAAAAGGAGACATGTGAGGATGCACAGAAGGAGAAACGCAAGGTATGTAAAGAGACACATTTGGAGAAAAGGGAGGAGAAAAGGAGACACGTGGTAGGTGACATTGTTGGGGATAGGGACATAGCTAGAAATGTGCTCTTGGAAAGAGGTGCTCCATGGCAGAAGGAGTGCACTTTAAGGCAACTGCAGAGCATGGAGGACTCATGCCAGAGGAGGGACAACCCTGAAAGGACTGCAGCCGATTGAGAACCCACACAGGAGCAGAGGAGCAGCAAGAAGCAAGGAGTACCACAGGAAAAAAACTAAAATGCAAGGATTGGCAGAAAGAAACCTTTACACAGTGACCCCACACCCAGCACCTCAAAGGAATTAGGAGGGACTGAACGTTATAGAGAATAAAACAAGCAAAGATGGGACAAGGGAAGCAGGAAGGAGAGGCAATAAACTGTAGTTGAGCCTGGGAAAGTGGGAGGTGTTTCCCTAAGTGTGTGTTTAACCGTCTTTGATAACATCAGCAAAAATTACAAAGCTGTCTCAGGCCATATACTTCACTGAAGACTAGAGGGAGGGAAAACTATTGTACGAATTGCACATATTAGAACCTGGTATAGAAATTCTCTAGAGAGAGCATTCAAATGTGGATCCTCAAAATTTCCAGTTTTAGAATTCACTTGCCACCACCTCTCAATACAGCCTTCCTCTTCCAGGAGTGTGTCCCCACAGAACCAGGGAAAGACAGAAATGTGGCAGACTATATTAAACTAATAAAGATACTGGTAGCAAAAAAAGCCAGATCACTGTACAAAGACGTTATAACGCATCACAGGGACTACTAAATATAGAACTACGCAAATTGCCAAGCCCAGTAAACTGCAGCAACAATGTATTAAACTACCATGAATCAAAACTGCAAGAGAACCAGGTCCTAAATGTCTTCTTTTTTTTTTTTTTTTTTTCTTATCAGAAGTGAGATGTAAGCAGGTATCATATGGCTGGAAGCCTGTAGGTTCACAGCCTCTGGAAAGCACTTTCTTTGTTTCACAACCCTGGCTGCAGGGTCAGCAAAGACTAGTACTCCTCGCTTGGCTGGAACAGGCAGAGCTGTCATAAACCGTCAGATGGTTCGTTTTAGAGCCATGTAAAGTGTCCCTTGGTAATCTGATCATATGTTGTGTTCTTAGAATAACTCCCGCTGA